TATATATATATATATAGGGCCCAAAACGCATATAACCAGTTGACGTTGAAACCAAAGCTACGTGTTTGTCCCCAAATACTTAACAAAGCTTAAACTTGGTTCTCCCGGGAAGCAAAATACTGAAAGCATAAAGTCTGTTTATATCAACTTACTTACATTTCCAAATTTAACTTCCACCTGGAATACTTTTATTGACTTTAGCAAAGCTAGTTTGACATTTTAATAAATGTGCAGGTTAAGTGAACTCACACTAAACTACGGTTTGTGTTTTAATCAGCTTTTGCTGTTTGGCCACTTCCTTTGCTAAAGCTGTTTACACCAACTCAGATCTTACAAGAGAAAGAGAAAAAGCCAGTGTTCCTCTCTCTTAAAGCCAAAAATGCTTTAATTGTTAGTTTAATTTAATGGTGTTTTCTTATTGGTAGTAAGGAGGAATCATTTTAACAGGTACAGTAAAATAATGACCAGATAGAGTCTTCTCAATGTTTTTGTTTCTATTATTCACGTCTCTGTGAAAGCTCCATAAATGATGGAAGGAAATCTATGACAGTAGCTGTAACTAAAATTAAGTTGGACACTGAAGTGAAACTAAGGTGAGTATCATATTCACAGACAGAAAAAGTGCTACCTCTGTGTGACCTGTTATGATGTCTCCACAGCACACAGCATAGCCATGAGCAGCTGTACCAGTGATAGCATATCCTGGAAGCTGCTTCTTCTTGCTTTTTTTTATTTAAAACTTATCCTAAAATCTGTATAGGTTTGTCTCTTATAGACCAGATCAGACTATATTTAACAAAGCACAGAACATTTCCTTTGTTTGAGTCTCACAGCAAGGAATGAATCCCGGTGTTCAGCGGCGTTGCTGTGAAGTGGCAGGAAATGTTTGCATGAACAGTAACTAAGGTAGTCTTCTGACCAACATCAGCTTTATGTGAACACCTGTCAGTGAATCTCCTTTTGGGCGTGAGACTTTTTACCTCCACATGGTGGCTACAGCGTGTGAGTGAACAGCAATCAAAGAGCTTCACCTTCACATTTTGTCAATCCAAGCCGCAGAACGAGAATTGTGTTTAAAGGAAGGGACAGAAGCACAGACCGACTCTCTCTGATGAGGCTTGTGGTGAAAGCACAACAGCGGTAGGTAACAGCTGTATTCTGGAAGCGGGCTAACATCAGCAGTGCTGGTGGAGGGCGCGTGGACTACGTACCCAGGTAGCTTCCAAATTTGACGGCTTCAGTGTTGTCATTATCGAGGTAGGCTGAAATCTTCCCGCTGGTGCTGTTATAGACCAGAACTGAACCCGTCCAGTAAGATGTCCCTGGTGCCCCCATGATAACCAGATCCTGAGAAAGAGAGAGCCTCTATATTATAATGTGATGACTTTATTTAAGCTGCATTATATGTATAGCTGAATATCTTAGATTGACTCTTACATATGTTGCTTTAAAATTGTACTTCTGATTTGATCATGTCACAGTTTTGCTCTTTTTTTTAAAAAAACTTGAATTTATACATTTTCATAGCCTGAGGAGCAGCAAGAGGAGAGCAGATGGCTTTTTAAAACATGGATGGACCACATTCAGTCTGCAAGAGGAAACGGGGATGACACGATTTTAACAAAGCGTGTCGTTTATGTTACTAACCTCTGTCAGGAAGTTGGAAATACCCGCCTGACATGATCCATAATCCTCCCCAAACTTCCTTTGGTGGTCTGTAGGAGACACACAGGCATGTCAAAAGGTGAAGGTGAACAAACGAATAAATCCCTCTGCAGCTGAACAGCTGCTGGTTTCACATGCACACACATTCATATCGCTACAGTCACGGTCATGGTTTTACATATCAGGACATTATTTAAAGATAACAAGCAAAATAAAAAATAGTCCTTACCAGATGTTAAAATTGGGTACGTATAACCTGAGATGTACAATAACACAACATACTGGACTGTCACATTACTTATTTAACAAAAAATGAAGACAAAATGCAGAAGCAGTGTGTGAAAAACTAAGTAAAAAAGAATTCATGAGTCTTTTTGTCTCACTCTGCTTTATAAGATGTTTCCCTTCACTGAGGTTTGGGGCGGCTGTTCATGCACAGCTCTCTTAAAGTCCTGCTACAGCGTTTCAGTCGGCTTGACGTTTGAACATTTAGATATTGTAACACTATGATTCTTCTCCTCTGTCAGCCATGAAGCTGCAGATTTCTGTTGCGTTTGGGACACTGCATGATCCAGTTTGGTACAGGCTTTAAATATAGGACAGAGGTCCACACGTTTGACTCTAGAATACTCCTACGACGTGTTTGGGCTGAAATACTGTTTGTTTTTGCCAAACTCAGCACTGTCCCGTTTTCTCTCCCTCCAAATAAGTCATCCTTGTTCAGTCTTTTTTTAATTGCACTGTTATGAACTTTTAACTTACTAACTGAGGCCTGCATAGTCTGACATGTAGCTCTTGGTGTTTTTTGTAATTTCTTTGAGCATTGCACAGTCTGACCTTGGAGTGCATTTGCTGGAACGTCCACTCCTGGGAAGTCTGACAGCTGTCATGAATGTTTTCCACTTGTGAATAAACTCTCTCAGTGTAATAATAAATGAACCCTTCCCTGACTGATGGGCAGCTTCTCTAAAATCATTGTGATGTCTTTTCTCCTGAGCATTGTGTTAACACACACCTCAAAGCTCCAGACCAGCAAACTGCCAACGTCTGATGCATCTGGCTCTTAATTGCTTTCTGAATTCCTATAAAATCAGGACTGTGTCTGTTTTGACTTAATAGCTGTTAAATAATTAATATCACTGTGTAATTTTGAGACCTGCCACTTTATTTGTATTATGTCCTGATATGTAAAACCACAGAAATGTCAGCAGGTGAGTTTCGTTTTACTATGACAACTGTATGTTTGTGACCTTTATTGACATCATGTAATTTGTAGTTCTTTACCCTGTTCTACAAAAGGTTGCTAGGTCAAAAAGTTGTTCTCTCTAGTAGGAAGAGAGGACTAAGTGTAACCATTAGAGCAGCATGTGTGCGTGTGTGTGTACCTCTGTAACAGGGGGTCATAGCCTTGTAAGTTTTCATGTCGCTGCCAAAACGATAACACACCCCATTCGGAAGCTTGTTGTTCTGACCATCTTTCTTTGAGTAGAAGACGTTCTTCCAGCGGTGACCACAGGCCTGAAAACACACAAACACACACACACAAACAACATGTGACATACACTCATTACTAAGTCACACGTTGGCAGCAGAGTGTTGTTGTTGTTTCCATGACCTAAGTCACTGTAACAAAAAATGTGTGTGTGTGTGTGTGTGTGTGTGTGTGTGTGTGTGTGTGTGTGTGTGTGTGTGTGTGTGTGTGTGTGTGTGT